AAGTCGCAGTGCTCTTCTTCCCAGGCTCGCTGCCTCAATTGCGGTGAGGCCCACCCTACCTTCTCTCACGTGTGTATACATCACAAACTTGAGGCAGCCATCCTCAACTTGAAACACCAGGGTCGTTTGTCTTTTCCTGAGGCGAGGTGCCAAGTTCATTGTCTCCCCCACTTTCATTGGCGTATGTTATGCTCACGTGTTGATACCTGGTTGATGGGGTTCTGGGAGTTCTTCTACTCCCCATGCCCGGCCCGAGGCCAGGCATGACTTGTGAGCTCTTCCTCTCCTCGTCCTTCCTACCTTCCTCAGTCTCACAACCGTTTCCAGGCCTTAGACGCAGACACGCCCACTGCCTCCTCCCGTGTTCCTTTACATTCTGTCTCGACGGGTTCCCCTCCTGGTTCTCCTTCTGGTGCTTCCCCCCTTCGTACCCAGTCTGCCATGTCTCCTGTGTCTTTTTTCCCATCTACCCCCGTTCCTTCTTCCCAACCCTTCCCACAGTTTCCTTACCCTCCACGCCGCCTGTCTGTCCAGGCAGTTGTCCATCATGCTCTCAGCAGTCTTGTTGTTGTTCACTCTCGTTCTTCTTCACCTGCTGAAACAATTGAGTCTATCGCCCAGTACGTTATTGCTGGAAAGCCTGTCTCTTTGAGTCAGAAACGTAGGCCTTCCTCTCCTTTCTCCTCCCTGGCGGGTAAGAAGGCATTGCTTTCTTCCTCGCCACCCCCACCTCTGGCTCTATCGCTCCATCCCCTTCCGTTTCAGTGGTTGGGCCCCCTGTTCCTGCTATGGAGGTTTCTTTGGCACCCGCTTCCCTCTCGGTTGCTGCCCTTGCTGAGGTACGCTCTGCGGTTTCTGCCCCTCTTCCTCCTGCTGTCATTGACCGCCCCTCTTGGTTATCTCCTCATTTTCCTCCGGAGTGGCAAAGTGGCAAACTGTTCTCTGGCAGATACTTTTTTGATGGAAGGGCAAACCAGTTCATTCACCCACTCGGTAAAAAATTGCCTTGTCACCCATACCTTATTATTAGCCCTCCACATCACATACATTTTGCTTTTCTGCACACTATATATTTTTTAAAACTCTTGGATTTTCGGAGTGATACACAAGCAAGGGTTTAATTTTCACATCGCCACTCGCATTACCACAGAGCACAAGAGTTAGCCTATCTTTCATAGGTTTGTGTCCAGTATTGACTTCTCCTCCTGGGTAATGTATGTCCTCTTTGGCAATCTTTTCCAGAACAGCCCTGTCTAGTAACAATTAACACTTATTGTGGTAGGTATACCCCACTCTCTACAAAATCCTTAAATTTGGCAGCAAATCTTTCAGCCGCCGATTTGTCTGACCTGGCAGCCTCTCCATGCCTCAAAGCACTATGAATGGCACTTCTTTTTCTAAATTTCTCCAACCATCCCTGGCTAACCTTAAAATCTTTTGTATCTTCATCAATCGTTGCAAGGGTGTTCTTTATAAGATCTTCACCCAATAGCCTTACTTTTTCACAAATGATGTCCTCTGAAACGTTAATTACCCACTAACTCCTTGTTGTGTATCCAAATTAATAATACCTTTTTAACACCTTCAAGTGTTTGTGTTCTATGTTTCGGGATTATTGATACACCTTTCTATATTGTTGACACAGATTTGTTGTACTGCTTAGCTGGATCAACAACCCGCACACCATCTTCATGTTTATGAATGATCTCTTGTTTTCTCCCCTATGGTCATCCTGACATGGGTTTTCTTAGGTTGAACCTTACCACTGATTTTCTTGGGACTTATGGCATGATATATAATAATTACTTTTATGTTCAAAAAACAGAAACGTTAAAAAACAATGAAATTCCTTACAAAGAATTCAAGCGATATCGTCACTAAGCAGGCAGTCTGGTAAAATGAAGCAGGGTCGCTCGTGCCACCAGGAACCACATAAGAACAAAGGTAACTGCAGAAGGCCTACTGGCCCATACGAGGCAGCTCCTATCTATAACCACCCAATCCCATACGGGTCACAGTGTGATCCATATGTGTATCAACAAAGTCGCAAGTCGTCAAAGGTTGTAAGTCGAGTCGAATTTTGTTACGAAATTGAGGTCGTAACTCAACAAATTTGTATGCATTCATAAGTCAAGATTCCACTGTAGTGTTGTAAAAAAATAGTTTCGCTAAATCATAAAAAAAAATATGTTTTGATCTTAGGCTAATTAAATGTTGTAAGAATGTTTCATGCAGCTGTCAAAGAACATTTACCATTTATTTATGCATCTTAATGAAAAGAACATTAATTTATTAATTAAACATGTAAAAATGATTTTTAATATATAAGGGAAAAATTGTGTTAGAAAAGAAATATTATGATAATTGTATATATAAATTTTTATAACATTTTGGGACTAAATGTTGCGCAAATGCAAGTTTCAGCATTTTCGAAGCATGCCATTACACAACCCTCTGGAAAAAGTTGGTAAAAGTTGTAATAAAGTTTTCTGTTTGCTGGGTAGCATTCCTATAAGAAAATAAATAGATTTGAAAGTATTTAGTTTTGAAGCTGGCAAGCAGTGCCAAAAAATCATCATGGAGGTTTGAATGTAACCCCTGGCACACTGTTACTGTTACCATATGAAATTTGATGACCTCAACAAGGGTTATCCCATAACCCATCCTTCGGCGAGTCTGGATGAGAATTTCTCAAACCATGTGGCCTCCAGCTTTATTCAGACAGACATACAAGCAGACAGACATTCACTGGTTCTATTAATATATAATAGAAGTTGTGTCAGTGCAGTACTTTACAGGCATAATTCTTGCTGACTTCTCAAACATTTATTTATTCCTGTTAATCTTGAGATGAAACGATTTTGGGGCTTAGCATCCCTGCGGCCCGGTCCTCGACCAGGCCTCCTTTTTACTACACACCCCCAGGAAGAAGCCTGTAACAGCTGTCTAACTCCCAGGTACCTATTTACTGCTAGATGAACAGATCATCACAGTAAAAGAAACTCTGCCCATTTGTTTCCGCCTCCACCGGGGATCGAACCCGGAACCTCAGGACTATGAATCCAAAGAGCTGTCTACTCAGCTGTCATGCCCTTAATAGAGCATTTCATCCGGTCTTAATTTCATTACAATTTCATTATATTTGTTTCTTGGAAATTCCAAGCAAATCGAACTTACCATCCATCATCTTCACTTCTTGATTCATTCCTCACATATTGCTATCATCCACAGAAACCTATCGTTGTTTTATTGAGCATTGGCAGGAATGAATTTAAATATGAATCTCGTCATTCTTATGATAAACTATGCTTGTAGAGATTTTTTCCTACTCTAACATTCCACTTCGATGTTACTGAAAATGTAGGAATAATTGTACCACATAGTGGTGGTGGTGGTGGGGAACCCACATCACCTACACTATATTTCATGTATTATCAAACGATTTTTTTTTCAAGTTTCAAGGAGCTATCAAACATGAATAATAACAATTAATCGAGGAATATTAATTTAACATTTATATAAAATGGTCATAGCAGAAATATATACAGTAAGAAATATTAATAAGATTAACACCTCAGAATATTATCATAAATTTACTTGCTAGGGAATTGTTAAATATGTAACCCCCAATTACTACACATAACTGTAAATATAAAGGTAGTTCAAGCACGCAAACTGTTAAGTCAATTTAATGTTGATCTTGACTTCTGAGAAATGATTGGCATATGTGTCAAGATTATCGAATACTGGCGACTTTTCCCCCTCGTCCCATCCCTAATCCTTATCCTGACCCCCTTCCAAGTGCTATATAGTCGTAATGACTTGGTATTTCCCCCCCCCCCCCCCCCGATAGTTCCCTTCCCTTGCCCCTTCAGAACAGAAAAACATTGTCTGGATATGTGGGTAAAAATTATTGCACTAGCAAAAAGCATGTGCAATTGGTGAGCTTCATTCATTTTTTGCAGATAAATAAATTTAACCGTTTCCTTGCGAACGGATCAACATTGTCTGGACACACCGAGTTGAAACCTGTAATTTGTTCATCATCGGCACCTCACACACTGACTCAGCTACACACTCACTATACCCACCAGTTGCTCTCGACACTGTGCTAGTGCTGTCTATTTATTGCTGCTGCATATACTCTGCATTCACTGTCTGCTGCGTCTATAGATATTAAGTCTTTCTCAGCTCTTCACGCTGTTGACTACTTCAGGTACAAAATATTAATATTTGTTATTGGGTTTAATTTAATAAAAAAAATTTTATTTAATATTGTAACTTTAGTGTGTAGTTTGAGCAATTAAATAACATTCATACCTTGATAAAAGCAAAATGTGATTTCGTGGCCTCACCTAACTATATGCAGAGGATGAGTCACAATAACGAGGCTGAAGATATGATGACCAAACCACAAACCAGAAGACGAGGAAAGAAAAATCGTTTCCTTATGTTCTGATTTCTGGTCATCTTCTCACCTAACTATTTTTCCCCTTTATATAACCGATAATTTAATATAGCAGTGTTACATAATATTCTTGCTCCTGTATATTTATAAACTCATTAAAATATTACCCTCAACATGATTTGCTCGAAAACTTGCCCGACCTTATTGATAAACTGTCACTCAGTGGCACGACAACCTCCTCATTCTAAGACTCGTTGATCATCTACCACTTACATGTCATTACAAGGTGTAAAATTAAGGGAATCAAACTCTATCAGAAAACAATGAACAGAACCGGAAGGGCAAACAATTTAAGTTGTTGATTTAAAATAAGTAATGTTTCATTAATTTATTTTTATCTTATTTCCATATGAGAAAATTCTTCTTAATGTGGAAAAATGTCGTTTAGAAATTGAACAAAAAAGTATCTGAAGTAAAAAAAAAATATGTTTTGAAAGCAAGTGACCCGATTTTTTATAGGATACAACGAATGTGTGAAACTCTCTCTCAGAACCAAGTATTTTGATCTATGAACGATATGAATGTAAACACTTCACTTAAAAGCTGATATTTCTACAGCACATTCGTTTGTAAATGTTTGGGTCTCATCAAGTACCTTATTTGCTATCAAATCTGTTGAGACATTAAATCATTTATTTATCGAAATGAAGTATATAGATGTATCCCAATTTTAGTAAATCAAAGATCGCTGGTGCTCATTATTTAAGGTGAATATCAGTAAAAAGTCCAGCGCTGTTTATTGAATGATGAATCTATTTAATTCAGAAAGTCTTCGCATTTGTTTCATTAAATTCCTTGAAAAAAGCTAATTCTTATATTATTAAATTTTTGTTTAGGTTTATTTCCCCTATTTGGCATGTACGTTTACACCTTCACTCAATTACATATATACTAACTTGCTTATGTATATTTTCTCATATGTATTTGTATACCTAGACAGAAATATACATATACATATACCTTTTCACAAGTACATACACCCCATCCCACACGTACCTTTTACCTTATTGAAGCACATGTGCCCATCTTCTCATAAGAGCATGAAGACCTTCGCACAAGTAAACATAACCTCTCTTACAATATGACGAACATCTTTTGACAAGTACATGGGCTCCTTCTTTAAAATACCTGAATTAAAAAACACCAGAGAGCAGAAGAAGACAACAGAGGACAAGGAATGAATACCTCAATGTGTGAAGAGAAGTGCAAGACAGTATGAGAACAACATTGTAAATAATGCAACATCACTGGGAATGGAGTTCAGGAAGAAGGTGATAAAACTGAGAACAGAGAAGGACAGGATCACTGAAAATGACATGGAGGTGTGTAAGGAACTCAACAAGTCTTCACAATTTTCAGTGCCTAAACAGAGAGAGAGAGGTGGTAGAGTATGCGGCTGGCAATGACTAGTTGCAACGTCTCAAAACTCCAGTGGATTTTCTCATTGATGTATATCACTTTAGTGTGATTTCTGTGTGTATCTGAAGTTAAGGCGTCCGGTGTTGAACTGCTTTATCCTTCACTCGAGTCCTTGGGGGTCTTATGTAAAACTTGGACTGGCTCCAGGAGGGCCTCGAGACTTCCTGTGATTTCAGTAGAAATCGGGTTGTATGACTTTGACAAGTCCCGATGGAACAGTGGTAAAGTATGTGGCTGGCAAAGCGGGTTCGCTTCGCCTCACAGCCCCAGTAGATTTTCTCAAAGAGGTGGTGTTAAACCAAGCAACACTGGCAGAATTTTAGATGACCAGAGATGAGGTAATGGTTTATTGGTTGGAACTGGACGTAAGAATAGCTACTGGCTTGGAGAGAATGTCATCATCGATATTATACTAGAGGGAGCATGAGAGAGAATCTCCTCATGAAGAGTATCATGAGTGTATTATGTATTATACGACAAGAGTTCAAACTACAAGAGAATCACGAGAGAATAATACAAGAGTATTAGAGAGAGAATCTCTTCATGGACACTACAAGGAGTATAAGAGAGAATCTCATCATGAATACTACAAGAGAAAGTATTAGAGAGAATATCATCATGAATACTACAAGAGGGAGTATTAGAGAGAATCTCATCAAGGATACTAATAAATCAATTGAGTGTACAGGTAAAAGGGGAGCCGGAAGTGGGAACAGACGGAAGAATACCCAATACAATACAATTTACCCAATCTCCCAACCTTTATGATCCCAATTTGAACATCTTTACCAATGTGATCATTGCTGTTTTCTTATATGTGCTGCCAATCTGTTGTATGGTGTTTATAAATCTTGTTTATCTGTATCTTTTGCTACCCAGTCTCCCAATCTTTATGTACCCAATCTGAACATCTTTACCATTGTGATCATTGCTGTCTTATATGTGCTGTCAATCTGCTGTATGGTGTCTATTAATCTTGTTTAAATTACTAATCAAGCTGTCAATGTAATCAATCAGAGCTTTAATATAACAATGTGCTTTAATATACTTACTTATCTCTCTCATCTCATTTTTCTCTTGTAATGTATCTTTATCATTTATTAATTCTGATTGAAATTACCTACTTAAAATTATCTGCTAGATTAAGGACCTGCCCGAAACGATGCGCGTACTAGTGGCTTTACAAGAATGTAAATACTGTACTATCCAATGTATTCTCACAAACCCAATGTACCTTCTTGTATATATGTAAATAAATAAATAAATAGTCTGGATAGGCGGTTTCGTAGTCAAAGAGTAGCACAAGGGCTTAACACAGCAGCGGGGCTTGAAATTTCGGGAAGTTGTACTAGAATCGAATGCACCCTGGCAGAGGATCAAGAGGACCAAGAAGGGCAAGAATGCTAGACAATACTTGTCTAGCATTCCTCTGTTACTGCATTACTGTCTCAAAGGGCCTTCAGAGTACTTATTTTTGTTGGTTCTTTGATTCTATGTTATAGCTTCTTGTCTGTACTAGGGTGACCGTGGATATCGTGCTAGGAATTAGTTGGATCGAGATCGTCTCCATCAATTCTCTCGGCATATTGATGGAGCACCTCTTGGCCGTTTAAGAAAGTTGTGATTGTGCCTTCTTCCTTGTCCTCAATGTTAAGCATGCTTTGGGGATTTTGTACGTAGTATAGCATCCGAGGCGGCGTGGGTGCTTCCGCAGAGCTGTCATCTTCTTCTCTGGAACAATCTTCTACCTCCATATGTTCGTCTGAAGATGCGTGCTCTTTTTATCTTGTGTCGCCAGTATTCATGATGAATTTTTGTTGGAAACCGCCCCGAGCCCACTCTGGGTGTATACAGGCGCAGTCGTCTGTGTGTCCGCTTCGGTCTTGTCCGCTGGGTACCACAACACGCTGCCACAACCTGCTGCCACAACCTGCTGCCACAACCTGCTGCCACAACCTGCTGCCACAACATACTGCCACAACCTGCTGCCACAACCTGCTGCCACAACCTGCTGCCACAACCTGCTGCCACAACATACTGCCACAACCTGCTGCCACAACATACTGCCACAACCTGCTGCCACAACCTGCTGCCACAACCTGCTGCCACAACCTGCTGCCACAACCTACTGCCACAACCTGCTGCCACAACATACTGCCAAAACCTGCTGCCACAACCTGCTGCCACAACCTGCTGCCACAACCTGCTGCCACAACATAATGCCACAACCTGCTGCCACAACCTGCTGCCACAACATACTGCCAAAACCTGCTGCCACAACCTGCTGCCACAACCTGCTGCCACAACCTGCTGCCACAACCTGCTGCCACAACCTGCTGCCACAACCTGCTGCCACAACCTGCTGCCACAACCTGCTGCCACAACCTGCTGCCACAACATGCTGCCACAACACGCTGCCACAACCTGCTGCCACAACACGCTGCCACAACATGCTGCCACAACCTGCTGCCACAACATGCTGCCACAACCTGCTGCCACAACCTGCCGCCACAACCTGCTGCCACAACATACCGCCACAACCTGCTGCCACAACCTGCTGCCACAACATGCTGCCACAACCTGCTGCCACAACCTGCCGCCACAACCTGCTGCCACAACATACCGCCACAACCTGCTGCCACAACATGCTGCCACAACATGCTGCCACAACCTGCTGCCACAACCTGCTGCCACAACCTGCTGCCACAACATGCTGCCACAACCTGCTGCAACAACCTGCTGCCACAACCTGCCGCCACAACCTGCTGCCACAAGATGCTGCCACAACCTGCTGCCACAACATGCTGCCACAACCTGCTGCCACAACATACTGCCACAACCTGCTGCCACAACCTGCTGCCACAACATGCTGCCACAACATGCTGCCACAACCTGCCGCCACAACCCGCTGCCACAACATGCTGCCACAACATGCTGCCACAACCTGCTGCCACAACATGCTGCCACAACATACTGCCACAACCTGCTGCCACAACATACTGCCACAACCTGCTGCCACAACATGCTGCCACAACATGCTGCCACAACATGCTGCCACAACCTGCTGCCACAACCTGCTGCCACAACATGCTGCCACAGCATGCTGCCACAACCTGCCGCCACAACCTGCCGCCACAACATGCTGCCACAACCTGCTGCCACAACATGCTGCCACAACCTGCCGCCACAACCTGCTGCCACAACCTGCTGCCACAACATGCTGCCACAACATGCTGCCACAACATACTGCCACAACATGCTGCCACAACCTGCTGCAACAACATGCTGCCACAACCTGCCGCCACAACCTGCTGCCACAACATGCTGCCACAACTTGCTGCCACAACCTGCTGCCACAACATGCTGCCACAACCTGCTGCCACAACCTGCTGCCACAACCTGCTGCCACAACCTGCTGCCACAACCTGCTGCCACAACATGCTGCCACAACCTGCTGCCACAACATGCTGCCACAACCTGCTGCCACAACATGCTGCCACAACCTGCTGCCACAACCTGCTGCCACAACATGCTGCCACAACCTGCCGCCACAACCTGCTGCCACAACATGCTGCCACAACCTGCTGCCACAACATGCTGCCACAACCTGCTGCCACAACCTGCTGCCACAACATGCTGCCACAACCTGCTGCAACAACATGCTGCAACAACATGCTGCCACAACATGCTGCCACAACATGCTGCCACAACATGCTGCCACAACATGCTGCAACAACATGCTGCAACAACATGCTGCAACAACATGCTGCAACAACATGCTGCCACAACCTGCTGCCACAACCTGCTGCCACAACCTGCCGCCACAACCTGCCGCCACAACCTGCCGCAACAACATGCTGCCACAACCTGCTGCCACAACATGCTGCCACAACCTGCCGCCACAACCTGCTGCCACAACATGCTGCCACAACCTGCTGCCACAACCTGCTGCCACAACCTGCTGCCACAACATACTGCCACAACCTGCTGCCACAACATACCGCCACAACATGCTGCCACAACCTGCTGCCACAGTCGCCGCCTGCTCTGAGTCGGTCTGGGTAGTTGAGGCTGTGTGGTTCGTCACTGGCAGTTGATCTGGTGCAATGCCACTTGCTTTCAGTAACTCGTTCACTGTTCTGAGGAACAGGCTGTGGTGTTGTTGTGTTACTTTGTCTGCAAAGAAATAATAACCTAGATATGGATGTTCTGGAAAGATGTTGTCGTTCCTGATGACACAAGGTCTTGTTGAGGTTTTTGTGTTCTTCCGGTCCTCACGGCTTTCTTCTGTGTCTGGCTTGTTGAAGGGAGGATTGAGTACTGGTCTGGACCCAGGTTTAAGGGCGTGTCAACCTTTCTTTTGTTCTTCGATAGAGGTGAGGTGAGGTGTGCAGAGGTAATATGTGGCGGCGTGCTGTTCTTCGCAGTTCGCGCATTGCTTGGTAGTTGCTGTGCATTCCTTGAAGTTGTGGGTGTCCGAGCATGAGCTGCTTTTTATTGTTTTCTCTAGACATTTGTTAGAGAAGTGCTCATAACTGAAACATCTGTAGCATTGTCTAACATTGTAGACCTTCACCATGGCGATCTGGTTTTTGAAAGGAGGTGATTCTAAAACACTTGAAACCTTTTTTCACTGCATCCTGTGCCTGTTAAGCCGTTTCGAAGGTCATCTACATCGTTTGAGTGGTGTCTTTGATTCTTATGCATTGAGCCGTCGTCAATATGAGATTCAGGTTTTCTATGTTCACTTGTTTCACTAAGTCTTCGGGGTTCTCACCCGCTAGCCAGCGGTTGAGCCTGTTCACGAAAATCGTGCTTCCAGCCGTGATTTGTCTAGGAAGAATCGGTGCAATATTCACCACTATTAGATAGACTCTGTGTTCTGAATCCAAGATCGTGCTTGTTCGCCACAATTACCGTGGCCCCGTTGCCGTGTACATGGACGTCTACTGAACCTACCGATGTGGCCTTGACAACGGCTGCTGCAATTTTGCGCTCAGAGCACTTAAAGACTCCAAGGAGTCGCGCTTTCACTTTCACTTTGCACCTCATATTCTCTGGCAACGCATCTATGGCTCGAATTGTCAGAAGAACAGTTCATTACAGTCACGAAGTGGCTTCTACCTGGCAATGCCCTTTACCGAAGAAGGTCATCCAGCTTCTTCTGTGAATAATGAGGAGGAGAATGGAGCTGACCTCCTATGCTAATGCACCTTGCCTAGTGTAGAGTGGTTTACCGGGAGCTGTGTGACAGCGTGCCAATGGGAGAGATGAGGGGTCATTTGAGAAGAGGTTAGGGGCAGCCATCCGACCGCGGTGGCTACTCGCAACAAATTGATGCAATAGAGAAGAGAGAGTATTAGAGAGAATCTGATCATGGATACTACAAGAGGGGGTACTGGAGAAAATCTCATCATTGATACTACAAGAGGAAGTATTAGAGAGGATCTCATCATGAATATTACATTACTATTAGAGAGAATCTCATCATGAATACTACATTACTATTAAAGAGAATCTCATCATGGATTATACGAGAGGGGAGTAATAGAGAGGATCTCATCATGGATTATACAAGATGGGAGTATTAGAGAGGATCTCATCATGAATACTACAAGAAAAAGTATTAGAGAGAGAATCTCATCATGGATACTTAATGAGGGAGCTTAAGCAGTATGCTTGCCATTTCTGTTGTGAATAACAGATCTCTGGAAACAGTAGATCTTTCGGAAATTTGAAAAATAGCTACAATAGACGCAGTTTACAAGAAGGGAATTGACAGGTCTCTAGCTAGTATGTAATAAAAGGTGATGGAACCCAAAGATGATTGAGTGTAGGGACTTTGTAACACACTACCAATACTGGTTCAGGGATGGTGAATATTGCCTCTCAGATTTAATATTGTAGTATTATATCTGAGAATATTGTAATAGTCAGTATCTGTTCAAAAACCTAAGTCTTGAATAGCCTTTGGTGGGAGATTTTCATTATGTTCGCCATAAATTTCTTTCTGGCCTTGTCAAACCCAATATATAAGTACACCTGGAGGTTCATGTGTTATCCTCACCTGATTAAGGAATAAAAACCCATTCTAGGTGACCTTAATAACTCTAGTTAAATTCGAGTACTTAGTGCAATCAATTGCTTGAATCATGTGTGATTCCGGTATTTCAGCGGGAGCTCGGACATTGGTCATTATGAACTGTGGTTTTTGTTCAGACCAGTGGCCACTAAATAACCACTGGGGACCATAGAACCATGTTTCAGCTCAGACAAACCGTTTAAACGTCAGTCCTCGTGATAAGTAGTCAGCTGAGTTTTCCTTCGTCAGAACAAACGTGTACCCAGCAGATAATTATTTAATTTGTTTACTCTGTTGTTCGAATAAGGATGTTTATTTGTTGTTGTTTTATACCCATTGAAGCATGTATCACGTGAGGGAACTTCATGGTCTCTAGGAAGTTTTACTCACTTGAAATCCCTCTCCATTTTTCCTGGACCTTTAGGGGTCCATTGGTCGTCCCGTCAATGTCTGTGAGCCAACAGTATTGCATCAATATTCGACCCTTTATTCTCATGGGACTCATTAGTACCAAGGGGTCTCTGGGAATTGGTTATTGATCATTTAAAGATGAGGACTGTATAAATTGCAAATTATTTCTGTTCCCACATAAGATTTGGATGGCTATTTACTTTAAAATTTAATTTAAACATTCAGTGGTTAATGTATATTTAAGTCTAATGTTAAGTTCTTACTTTAGTACTCTGGTCCCCACTCAAATGACCAACCACTTGGTTGATCATGTGCCCGGCATGAACAGATAAATACATAGGACAGGTCCCTGTTTTTTAAGCCCCCCCCCCCTCCGTGGTGTAGTGGTTAGGATGCTAGCCTGGCGTTCTGTGAGCGCTTTGTCCTGGGTTCGTATCCTGGCCAGGGAGAATTTACTGGGCACAAATCCTTAAAACTGTAGTCTCTGTTTAACTCAACAGTAAAACGGGTACCTGGTTGTTAGACGATTCTTCGCGGGGGTCGTATTCAAGGGAAATAGGATTGAGGACTTGTCCGAAACGCTATGCGTATTAGTAGCTGTAAAAGAATGTAAGAACTCTTGCATATATCAATAATAAATAAAAGGACACCACTTAAGTGGAGCTTAGCAACACTTGACAAAATAGCCAAGCCCATAGTTCGTACTTATATATAATTTGACTTGTTATATACCACAATTGAACGGAACAATCTATATATAAATAAAGATGGAAAAGTTCGTTTGTGCATAACCGCTGTTCTCCGAGAGTTCTTCACTGATTGCTTGGAAATATCACACAACGTTCCATTCGCAGTATACAAAAACCGAGCAGGTTATTATATACATACTAGCAGTACCCGCCACGCGTTGCTGTGGATCAGTCTGGTTAAATGGAAAAAGAAAAGAAAAGAGAAAGTGCACGTTTCTAATATGTTTAATTTCACAACGCTTGTGGGTATACAATATTTTTTGTTGTTCCACTGTCTGTGGAAATAGAGATTGTCTGGTTTGCCGACTCTAGAACACGCAACATATAATTGTCCATGTGAGAACCATTCCGTATCTAGCTATAAACTGCACAAATCTAAAGATTGGCTCTGAGCTTTGTTGATGGTAATTCCAAACGCCAATCGAATTGGAAATTACAGTCTCTTATATTGAAATGGCATATCTGTTGGAATCATAGGAATGCGAGGAATGAGAACAACTTCACCTTTGAAAGGTCCTGTCAAGATTGTGGCTTTTACGACGTTGCTGATTAATTTGTTTACTGCAAGGCGCGTGGCGTTGCCAAGTTTTGGCTGGTTGATATTTCACAACATGATAATTGGCACGCCGATTTTCAGTTGCCGTACGTGTGATGGTATTCCTGGTAGATCGAGTGAATTCAAAAATTCTGTTGGATAATTAACCGCTTCATCTGCTTCATCAACAGTGTCGACGAACTTGTATGTGACTGCCTTGCTTTGAATGTTAGACTGAACAATATTGTTAAGTTAGTGGACGTCTTTGTTCATGGCCGCAAGAAGAGCTCGTTCATTCAGACAATCGTGATTCTTATAATTGGTTTGAACATTGGGAAATACTTTTTCAACAAATTCTTCTTTTGAGGTCACTAAATTGTAGAAGTTGTGAGGCAATGAAATTCATCCTGAGGTCAGATCAACCAGCACGTTTCCGTTCCCAATTTCCAGAAATTGATGTGAGAATATCCCAGCTGATGGATCATTTTGCTGCTAAACACGCATATTTGTAGTCAATTTTAACGTCTTTACGTGGCGCCACAAAGTAGAGTATTTCAAACAAGAATTTATTTCGTCCGCTGGTGT